TACCGAGCATGTGTCTACACTCAGTGCGTGCTGTTCTCTAGGACCCACGAGTGAGACTCAGTGACCATCGGTGGTTGACTGTGGTACAGGGATGTCCCTACCCACCTGCCCATGTATGTGTCCCTCGATTGGGGATGCTGTGCGCTCGCCCTGGGTCTCCATGGGTTCTCTCTGATGCTGGCTACGTGCTGTGGCCCCCTGGGTCCTGTGTTCTGTCGCTGAATCTTCTCCCTATCAGAGTCTCCTTGCTGCCCCGTGTTGCTACAGTGTCTGATGTTCATGGCCCTTTCCACCCACATTACACTTACCTGTCTCCGTCCCTGAGTCCAGGGCTGGCAGAGCTAGAAGGGTGAGAGCTCTGTGCCCCTGAGGTCAAGGAGCCTGGCTGGGAAGTTAGCGGCTGGAGATTAGATTTCGTGGAAGGAGGGAGAAGGATCCAGGTCTGGTTTGCGACAGGGCCAGGCCAGGATCCAGGGTCTCAGAATCATAGAATAGTCATAGCAGCTCCTGTTTATGGAGCATCTTCCATGTACCAGGCACTGTACTTGGTGCTTTATATATTTATATGGATACTGTTTTCATTCAGTATTAAATATTAAGTATTTATATTTATAAATAGCAATGATGTGGATTGTTCCTAATGTTTATGAATCATATTTTAGTCTGTCAGTTATAGATTTCTTTTTTTAAGGATTTTATTTGTTTGAGAGAGAGAGAGACAGCACGAGCAGGGGGAGGGGCAGAGGAGAGGGAGAGAAATCTTCAAGCAGACTCCCTGCTGAGTGGGGAGCCCAACGTGGGGGCTCGATCCCAGGACCCTGGGATTGTGACCTGAGCCAAAGTCAGATGCCTACCCAACAGAGCCACCCAGGCCTCCCAGTTCTAGATTTATTTATATAATAATTTTCTGTTATCATTTTCTTTTCTTTTTTTTTTCTTTTTTTTTGGTGCCTGAAGTTAGTATATACTGCTGCTGCCAGGAAAGAAATGGTCTTTCCTTTATTTGCAGTTTTGCAGCCAGGGTGTGATTTTGTTATCATTTTCTGTTATCCCACTGAAGGTAGGAGGAGACCGAAGCTCTCGGAGAGGTGAATCCACTTGCCTGAGGTCACTCAGCAAGGTGACAGAGTCAAAATGTGAACCTACTTCCAAATGTTTCCAGCCTTTGGCTCTTCACTACTGCATTACTCTGGCCAAGGTGGGAGGCAGCATCCGGGGGAGGAGGAGGGGGTAACAGCAGATTGTTGCTGATGCTGTGTTGTGCTGCTTTGTGTTTACTGAGCACCACGCTAAGGGCCAGCATAACAACAGTGTTGGCAAATGCTCACATGGCACTTGGCAAGGGCCCTACTATTGTGCTGACATGTGGATTAACTCACCCCTTATACCAGCATCCTCAGATGGATACCATCATTGTCTCCCTAAAGCCCAGAGGTGGAATCAGGTGCAGACAGCTCAAGGAGGAGTTGGGATTTGGCCCCAGACAGCCTGGCTCCAGAGGCTGTTCCTTTGCCCCATTCCCCGTGTACTTTCCATTATCCTTTGTAATCTTCATAACAATCCTATAGTATAGGAAGAAAATATCACCCATTTTACAGATGAGGAAACTGAGGCCCAGATTTGGCCTTACCCACAGAGCCACAGAATTGAACCACTGTTTGTCTGATTGGTTCATCCATGCCTGACTCGGTGCTCATCTGGAAGGAGGCTAGGAACTCCAAAGAGTCTCCAAAGGGCCTTGGCCGGGCTCCCAAGATGCCCAGCTTCCTGTCCCACTCTGAAGTCCCAGCCTCTTTATCCGTCCTGGGCTGCTCCTCAATTTTTCCTTTGGCTTGTGTCATTTTTGCTTGCTGATTGGTAACTGCTTATTGTATGTTACAAGAATTGTCTATTTTTGGGGCGCCTGGGTGCTCAGTCATTAAGCGTCTGCCTTCGGCTCAGGTCATGATCCCAGGGTCCTGGGATCAAGCCCTGCATCGGGCTCCCTGCTCCACAGGAGGCCTGCCTCTCCCTCTCCCACTCCCCCTGCTTGTGTTCCCTCTCTCGCTGTCTCTCTCTCTGTCAAATAAATAAATAAAATCTTAAAAAAAAAAAAAAAGAATTGTCTATTTTTCCCCAGGTTAGGTTTTTGTTTAGTCTGTGTTTGTTGCTGTACAAAAGGTTTACATTTTCTACAGCTCGATAGGTCCTCTGTTTATGTTATAAATTCAAGATTTCCAATCTTCGTTAAGAAAATCTCCTGGCTCCTGAGAAGTGGGAGTAGGGGGATGGCAGCCTCCTCTTCCTTCCCTCTCCCCCTCCAAGGCTTGTCTTTCTTGGGAGTGGCAGGGTGGGGGACTGTTTGATCTCTTCTCCACGATTTGTAAGCACTCTTTATATATTATAGCTATTAATTATATCCTGTCTCAAGTATTGCAAGTTTTTCCCCAAGCCTTTTGGACATTGCCTTACAATGGTTTTTTTTGTTTTGTTTTTTTTTTAGATTTTATTTATTTATTTGAGAGAGAGAGTGAAAGAGAGAAAGAGCACAAGAGGGGGGAGCGGGAGAGGGAGAAGCAGACTCCCTGCTGAGCAGGGAGCCCAATGTGGGACTCGATCCTGGGATTCCAGGATCATAACCTGAGCCGAAGGCAGACGCTTAACCAACTGAGCCACCCAGGCGCCCCTTACAATGGTTTTTGAGTGTTGTGCAAATATGTCTATTTCACAGATTCTGGGTTTCCAACCTTGGTTGGGAAGCTCTCTCCTGCTCCTGAGGGGAGCGGGATCTCTCTCATCTCCTCCCCTCCTCTGCCTTCCCCTCCCGGGCCTCTCCCTCCTCATCTCCAGCTTCTCCTTTCCCAAGGTTCTGCGTCCCAGATGGACGAGGGGACTTGCCAAGCCTGGAGACCCAGCCCCCTCCCCCTCCTCCTCCGTTGGCCTCTCCTTATTTGGAAAGGGGGTTGTTCCAATCCCTGTCAGTTTTTAAGAGCTCTTGGTAAGTATACTATTAACCCTATCTGCCTTCTGTACTGCAAGAGACTCGTTCTCAAGTCCTGTTGACTTTTTTTTTATAATGTTGTTTGCCACGTGAAATCTTAAGCTGCTAAGTTGTACACAAGTATGTCGGTCTTGTGTTCATTGGCTGTGGGTCTCTGACCTAGGTTAGAAAGGTTTCCCGCCCCGGGAGGGGTGGGAGGGGGCGGGGGTGAGGTGGGGGTAGGGTGGGGAGGGCGTCCTTATCTCGCAGCTTCTCCCTTCCCACGGGTCAGGTGCATAAAAGCGCGCCGGGACGCGGCCCCGCAGTGTCGCCATGTCCCCGCTGTGCCCCCTGCTGCTGGCCCTGGTCCTGGCGGCCGTCCCCGGCGTCCGAGCGGCCTGCCCGGAGCCCGCGGACCTCAAGAAGCCCGACGGGACGCGCACGTGCGCCAGGCTCTACGACAAGAGCGACCCCTACTACGACAACTGCTGCGGGGGCGCCGAGCTGTCGCTGGAGCCGGGCACCGACCTGCCCTTCCTGCCCTCCGACTGGACGAACATCATCTCCTCGCTCGTGGTGGCCCCGCGCTGCGAGATCACCGTGTGGTCCCGACGCGGCAAGGCCGGCAAGACGCGCAAGTTCTCGGCCGGCGTCTACCCGCGCCTCGAAGAGTTCCGCAAGGGCATCTTCAGCAACTGGTCCAACACCATCGCGTCGCTCTACTGCAGGTGCCCGCCCGGCCCCGCCTCCGCCCGCAGCCCCGCCTCCGCGTCCGCGGCGCGAACCCAGGCCCCCAGGCCCCTCGGCCCCTGACCCCGCACTGGGAGTCCCTAGAATCAATCCTGGAGGTCCCGGACCCTCCTCCTCCCCGCACCCCCTCCCCCAAGCCCATGGCCCTCGGATCTCTGGAACCCAACTCTGGGATTCCCAGACTCAGAAGCTGACCTCACCCCCTAACCCCCTAGCCTCCATTCTGGGAGCACCTGCCTCCCACCTTCCTGAATCCTCCACCTGCCGATCTACCCAGAGCTGCAGTCCTAGGCCTAGCTTGGGGATGGGGAGCCATCAGTCCTCTCACGCTGGAGCCCCCAGAACCAAAGCCAGTCGTCCCAGTTCCCGGAGCCACCAGAGCCAGTTCTGGGACTCCCAGACTCTAAACTGACCCACCACAAGACTCCAGACCCAGTTCTAGAAACACCCTATCTACCCTCATGCTCCCCACCCACGTAGACCCTCTAGATCAGAGGCAGCCCTGGAAACCAGTCCCAAAGTCCCTGTTAAGGTTCTGGAGCCCCCCAGATCCAACTTTGCCCCTCCAGCCCACTGTGCACTCACCTGTGGGAGCTCACAGACCCTGGGACCCTAAATCTAGTCCTAGCACTCTCCAAAACCACCTCACCTGTCCCTCTGCCTCCACAAGAGCTCCAAGAGCCCCCAGGATGCCTAGTTCCTGAACTTGCAGCCCAGCCCCAGCCCTCCACCCCATCTCAGCCTTTTAGGACCCCCCTCCCCCACACCCTGGATCTCTGAGCCCCTGGCAACCCCCTGGTGATAATTTTTATTCTGTTGCAGGTGTTCCTGATGCCATAAAGATACTTCATCTTCAACCCCCACAGGGTGCAGAGCCCCTCACCTGGCCTTATCCCTGGGGTCTGCTGAAGGCCCCAACTCCCAGGAGGAGAGAACCTCCTGCCTGCCCCAACCCATCCCCCCACCCCGCCCCACGCCTTCCCTGCAATAGAGCCCTTTTGAAGTTATCCATCTGCTGTCTACTCATGCTTGGGACCTAAGTCCACATGGGACAGGGTGGGGTGGGGGAGAGAGCAGGTTGGTCGGGCCTGCATCAGCCCATACCTGGGACAATGCCGGAGGTGGGGCTGTACTCAGAGATTTGGCCACGGATTTGGGTGGGCCCCAAAAGACACACATCCACAGGACACGTTTGTGACACGCAGTAATACCACTGGCTGATTGTTTAAACATTAAAATGCTTCCCGCACTTTTTGGTAGATAGCCCTTCCCCACGAATGCCCCCCAATGCCAGCTGTTCTGGCCTGCCAGGGACCTCCAGCCTCCCTGAGGAGTCAGGCCTGGAACAGCAAGAGGCCTTCAAGGACCCTGCCCCAGGCTAAGACCAGGGTCTCTTGCTTGACCTGGCCCGGAACTTACGGGTTATTAAAGACTTTCAATCTTTCTTTCCCCAACACACGAAAAAACTTTTAGCTCAAATTTGCCATCTGTCCCGCCACCATCCTCAGTGATGATGGCCCTTGATGGGTACGCTGATGGCTTTGGGGACTCTGGAGGAATGAGGGAGGAGAAATGAGGGTATTGTAGGGAGGAGAGGTATGGGGACAGCTCTAGGTGCGGTGAGAATTTGGGGTTGGAGGGGGAGGGGAAATGTGAGGAGCGTCTGTCGAGCACTAGCTCGGGGAGAAGTTGAAGAGCCAGTCACTCCCTGAACTGCACAGACACGGAGGAATTGGTCACCCTTGTCCGCCGCAGCCCGCCGGGCTCCCTCCGGTTCTTGGTCTTGTGCAGGAAGTGGACGAAGCGCACGCCGGGGCCATACTGGCGGAAGACGTGGGACACCTGCAGCGGCAGCCGGGGTGAGGGAGAAGTGCCATCAGGGACCCGGGCACCCTCGTCTCCTACCTCCACCCTCTCTGAGGTCTTGGGACATGAACACGTGGCGGCTTCGTGGCCAGAGCCTCACCTGGAGCCAGCAGCCGGGGGGGCCCCGCCCAGAGGTGTGGGGGGCCACGTGGTGTTGCGCGATGACCGTGTGTCGGTCAGCCGCCAGCAGCCAGACGTGCAGCTCGTAGACACACGCGTCCAGCCGGCTGTCCTCGTACCTGGGGGTGGGGTCCAGGCCATCAGCTGCCACCGAAGTGCCCATGGCCCCTGGCCCTAAGTGCCATACAAGGCACACTCGCTCCCGCTCTGTGCACCCGGCACTGACCAAGTGACCACTATGGCCCCCCGCGGAGCCGTCATGGGAGTCACATAGTCTGAGGCCGACCTGTCACCAGACAGTGACCATCCGGAATACTAAGGGCTGCGATGGGGGAAGTTCAGGGCACTGGAGCATGCTGCATCTGACCCAGGGTGGGGGTGGTCAGGCAAGGCTTCCTGGTGGAGCCACGTGTAGCAGAATCCCAGAGGATAAGGAGGAATTTGTTTCGAGAACAGAGGGTGACAAGCATCCAAGGACGAAGGGACGAGTGTCCAGCCCGGCACATCTCAGAAGCTGGAAGTCTCAGAGGGAAGGGGCTAGAACGGTAGGCAGGGCTGGATCCTGCCGTGGCAGGAGGGTCTTGGTGACCAGCTCACACCAGGGGAGGGAGGACAGGTGAGGCTCGCGCTTTGGGGAGCCCTGTGCGTGACCCGGCGGGGCAGGCTGACCGGGCAGAGGCGCGTACCAGTCCATGATCGTGATGTCCGGCTGCTCATCATCAAGGAGCTCCTCCCATAGGCCCTCGGCCAGAAGATCCACACACTGCTGCTTCACCGTCCAACTGCGGGAGAGGGCACAGGGAGGTGAGGTCTGGGACCGGCTGGGATTCTTGGGAGCAGGAAACCTCGATCATGGTGCCCTCGTAGAGACATCAAGCACCATGTATGGGTGCTGAGCATTTACTCCCCACCTTATAGCCTCAGCTCCCTCCATGCCCCTCTGAGGGCCAGACTGTCTGAACGCCATGATGCAGATGAGCAACAGAGGCTCAAGAAGGGAAGTCGCTTGCCTAAGGTCAAGCAGCGAAGAAGTGGCAGAGCTGGGCTCCCAGCCCAGCCCTTGAATTACACCGTCTCACCCAACGTGCAGAAGCAGGGCTCGGTTTAATGGAGGATAGATGGTGGCCTGGGTGACTCCCCCTCCCAGGGAAAGAGGTGGAGAATAGTAACCGTGATAGCTGCTATTTATTGAGCACCTACTATATGCAAGCTGGACCCAGCCAGAGCCTGTGCTGTGTTTTACAAGCGTTCTCTTTTATGACAAACCCTGGGTACGGAGCAGGAAACTGAGGCCCAGAGGGGCACACAGTCAGTGTCTCTAGGCTCTGCAGTGAGAAGCTGGAGCAGGGCCCCAGGGGTCCTGACCACCCACCTGCGGTCATTCTGGAGCTTCTCAGTCCTAATGTACCACCCGTGGAAGTTGCCTGGCAGGTGGAGGAGCAGAGGGTTAGAACATGCCCATTCCCCAGGACCACTCCGTCCCCTTGGGCCCAGCCAGCAAGCACTTACCCAGGGTCTCCAGGGGCTGCTGGGTGGGACCAGTAGGGGGTGCTGGCTCATAAATGTTGATGCCTGAAATGCACGGGTGAATGGAGCCTCAGTGGCTGAAACCGCCTCCAGCCCTTCAGCCTCCGCCTGCCTCCCTCCCCCCAGGGCTCTGCTGAAGGGTAGGAATCTGCACCAGGCCAGACCTGCCTGGCAGGGATGTGTGAGTCAGGGCCCTGGGAGAGTCCTGAGAATGTCCCGGGGCAGAAGGGATGGTGCAGTGAAGAAGGAGGGAAGGAGGAGGAGGGCGTCCTGGTGAGACAGAGACAGAGGGACAAAGCAAGAGGCACCTACAGAAAGAGACAGAAATGCAGGCAGGGAGGGAGGCAGGGAGAGAGAGGTAGACATACAGGCTAAGGCAGAGAGACACCGGGAGAGACAGACAGGGACATATGACACAGAAAGAGAGAGAGGGCAATGCGGGGTGGGAAGAGAGAGCCGCAAGGAGCCGGAGAGGGGCACAATGACAGAAGAGACAGGGAAGGATGTAGAGGGAGCAGACAGAAAGATGAGGAGACAGACGGTCCGAGTGAACCGCGCGCGGTGGAAGGCGGAGACCGGGCGGCGGTCTGTCGGGGTGCCGCGCCGCGTCCCGCACCTTCCCGCACCTTCCCGCACCTTCGGGGTTGGGCGAGCGGAGCAGGTTGCGGTAGAGCGGCCGCCGCAGGAAGAGCAGCCTCCAGGTGAGGCGCGGGGGCAGCTCGAGGGTCCCGCTGGGGGGCCTCCACTCCTCCAGCAGCAGCTGCCGCGCGTAGGCCTCCGACGGCTGCTCGGGCTGGGGGGACCCGGGGGTGTCGGGGGCCGCGGGGGACGGCGG